CATTTTAGTCCTAGCAGACAAGAAATTAAAAGATGTTTTGTGCTGGTAAATCTGCTGTCCAAGACCTCTCCAGAGTGCTGGAGAGCAATGATGCCAGTTTCAAGACGAGGGTGTGCCTGATTCCAGTTATGTTATTGTTCTGTGTCTTCAAGTCAGAACTGACTCACACTTGGACTTTCAGCAGGTTTCAGGGGCAGTAAATCACACAAGAGGAGAGTCCTTATCATTCTGCAGTGGTGCTGCTCGTGGATTCAAACTTCATGCTTTTGGGATTGCAGCACAACTATTAGTAGGCCACCAGAGCTCCCTGATCCAAGCTATAGTCTTTTCATTTGTTTCCTCCTATGCATCTGAAAAGTTGCACAGTAGATAAAGGTGACAGAAGAATAATATGTGCCTTTGAATTGTGGAATTGAGAGCGTATGGAACATTCCATGGACTACCAAAGACAGGCAAGTATGTCTTAAACAAAGAAGTATAACCAGATTGCTTGTTAGAGACAAGAATAGTGAAACTTCTCACTTATTTGCAGTTGTTGTAAGGAGGGACTGGACCTTAGGAAATGACATCATCCTTGGAATACTGGAGGGGGGAAAAGGAGACCCTCAGTAACATAGACTGACATTGTAAGAGTGGACTCAAGTAATGTCAGAGATGGTAAGGATGGCACAGTTCAGAAGTTCAGTTCACAGGGCAAAGTTCAGAACTCTTAGTCATAGGGTCACTAGGAGTTGGTTGATGGCACCTAACAACAAGAACAACAACGACAACACAGACATGCTATATTTGTGTTAGATTTTCTTAGGATATGAAAATCTTCCTTCCTAAAGATTTTAACTTATTTCAAGGTTGCTTTCTCTTGCTTCAGGCTCGCTTCATCAAACCAATTTGGGAGTATGACGTCTTTTTCTATTTTCTGTGTCATGGTCTCCCATAATCTGTTGAAACAAACCTTTAAAACAAGATGAGGGTTTGAATGCAACACAGCCCTAAGAGTGCACCCGGTGAGGTCTGTGATACCTTTGACGGTACTCCAGGTATAAAGGGAACTCTGGTGGCGAATTCTGTAGGGAGCGGAGGGGCTAATCCAAAGGTGGTACTTGCGTAGTGATTCAGATCCACTAGCACCTACTGCAGAGAAAGGTGGACAGTCCTCTCTAGAGTAATATATAGCATCTGGGAACTCACTGGAGTTTTCCTCTTTGATTTTCTAAGCCCAAGCCTCGGTACATTTCCTTATACTACTTTGCTTTATTACTTGGTTATGGCCTGAAGGTAATGAGTTCAACTGAGCTGAGAGTTTCAAAGTCTTAAAAAGTACAAATATCTGCATAGCAGAACTGCTCTAAAGCAAGTCTAACATGGGGGGTTGGAAAAAGAATAGGATAAGAGTGGATAGATAATGACGTTCGCACGGACAGAAGAAGGAAAGAACTGTCTAAAAGGAATATATGATTAGGTATCGTTGCCGAGGCCTGGGGTGGGGTGGGGAGGGAAGTAATTGTGCAAAAATGAATGAATATTAAGAAAAAAGTGAACTGGGGGAGGAGGAAGACAGGGAAGGTAGTAAGATGTGCAATAATGAATGAATGAAAGTCTGTCTTCTCTGTAAACAGTCATTAAAATAAAAACTACAATAAAATTAAATTGTATTTTAAACCAAAGTTTTATTAAGTAAGCCAAGAGGCACGAACCTCAGTGGCATCAATAAATATTCACCACAAGTGGAGCACATCTTTTTCTATCTATTCTGTAGGGAGAAGAAGATCTCTAGCTTGAGAAGGCTATATTCCATGGTGATCACCCAGGACCGTTTGGCCTAGGGCTGCTGAAGGACACACTGACTTTCCTCCACCACTGAGAGAGAGAGAATGGAAGCCTTCTCACAGAGGTGGCACTCTGGATTTGTAATACCATTAACGAATAAATTTCCCTTTCTGAAAGCAAACATTGTGGTACCTCTGTTGTAGCATCACTGTATAAATAAGGTATTGGTATCTTGAGAGAGGAGTTCTCTTCTAAAGGATGCCTAAAATGTGCACAATAGATAATGAGTAGATTTGGAAGGAGTTGAAGATTGTTTGAAAGAGACTGTTGGTGGAATTATACACATCAAAGGTAATTCTGGTGAAGGATCAAAGAAAGGTGGAGAATTTTTACACCAGTGGTGACCTAGGAGGAGAAGGAGCAGTAGAACAGCAGCAACAGACAAAACAAGTGCCTGTTCAGAGAGGGAGACACCCACAAGGCAACATGGGAGCCGATTTCTAGGAGCGAGATGTCATCTCTACACTGGAGCCTCCCTGGTGGAATGAGCAGCTTCTCAGGGCTTTTTCTTGAGCTAGTCTTGCCGACTCACAAATCTAGAAAGCATGTTGCCCTGTACATTAACTGCTAGATATCAAGAGCTTAGTGAAATCTGTTGAGGCAAAAAAGATGCCTAAGTAAACACTTTAGACTCAGAATTTGGAAGAGAACAGCTGGTTTTGGGACATGGTGTTTCTCAGAATCAGGAAACAGCGTCTAGTATTGCAGAGTTAAATTTTTGTAAACTTGGCTCTGCACTTGGTGCTTCCATAAGGCGGGGGGTCATTATCCAATGATGACCAGGGACAGTTTCCATGTATCTTTCTGTTCCATAGGGACAGGAAAGTGACGCCCACAAGGAACATGTAAGTAGGGCTGACATTTAAGTCTGTCTAGAAAAATAGGACAACCAACACTGAGAAAGCAGATTTCTTTCCCAGTGAACCAAGAAAACACATTTGAAGCCTAGGACACGGGGCTCAACCCTAAGTACTTAGAAAATGGCCAGTTCTCAGTATCCAGAGGCCCAGGCCATTGCTAGATTGTTTTAGAGAATAGAGGATTCTGTTTAAGCCTCAAGGCTAATCTAAAACCCTGTGCTCAGCATTTGACTTGCTTGGTGTTTGGTGTCCTTTCTTTAGAAAATCTGCCATTTGTAATGGAAATACTGTGTGTCTGTGTGCTCATTATAGTTTTAAATCAGAGGACTTTCAGCCTAGATTCAAAGATGAAGAATTATACCTCATGATAGAAGCTGGACGTTGTGTGCATCCAAGGACTGTGGAACAATAAATGAGGTGAGAGTCTTTTGCCCATGTCAAGGACATGAATTTGGGAGGCCAAAGACTGTAATGTCATGTACTCAACTGTGTCCTCTGATGGGCAGTCTACTCCCGTGCAATTAACTGCTTCTGAAGGCCCACCAGAGGGTCTGCTGTGGGGCGGTTCCTACTCTACTGTCACAATAACAACAACATATACATCACACAAGAGCAAAAAATATCTAAGGGACCTTTTAGGCTTCTTGTTGTCATTGTAATGTGCTGTCAAAGTGACTATGAGTCATAGAAACTCTTTGAACATAGACTCTGAACCTGTCTAAGCCAACCTGTCTCTGACACACCTGACCGCATGCCACAGTCGCTGTGTTAGTCTATCTCATCCAGAGTATTATTCCTCTTTTGAACTGACCTTCTACCCTTCCAAAACATCACGTCCTTCTCTAAGAACTGGCCCGTCCTGACAGCACACCCATTGTATATGATACACAAGGCATTTCAGAATCCTTGCCTGCTAGGAGCAACCTGCTTTCAACCTCTCTGGGGCAGAACTATGGGTTCTCTTGCCAGTCCAGGATATGTTCAGTACTCTCCTCCAGCACTGATTCTTCATGTAAGGAATTGCACTGCCTAGCCGGTGGCATGCTGTTTTCGTCTATCAGCTGGAAGAAAGATAGGCAATCTCTTCCAGTGTGATATAGAGCCTCTTAAAACCCACTGAGAGGTGAGCAATCAGTGGGTTCTGAATTGATGGCACATACCCAGAACAACAAAAAGCCTTGTCCTTGTTGGCAAGAGAATGTCCTCTGAAAGAAAAATGAGCCAGTGAGTCATGGTAAGGAAGGATTAGATCCCAGACCCAGCAGGAACTGAATGTTGTGTGATCCTTTCCGCAGCTCTTACTGTGTCTCATTGCTGTTGAGTCAGAACGGTCTCACGAGATAAGTTTGCCCATCTTGTTCCTGGGGAATAGATGTTGTTATGAATATCAAGTTGGAATCAACTCATAGTTGACCGTCCAAGTGGGTTTTCAAAGTCTGTCTGGTTTTTGTGGGAACAAAATTTTTCCCCCCTAAGTTTTTATTGTGACTTTAAAGAAAGTTTACAGAAAACTTGGATTTCCATTCATTGTTGCACATTTTCCTCTCTACCCACCCCCTAGTTTACTTTTTTTTTCTTAAAAAAATAATAAATTCATTGTTGCACAATTTCCTCCCCCACCCCCAAGTCTACTTTGCTATACAACTCTTATTCTGGACTGTTGTCATGAAGTTAATGCCTAATCACATATTCTTTATAAACAGTTATTTCTCTCTGTTCCAATGCAATGTTCATTATTTATCCCTTATTAGTTTCCCCACAACCCTCATGTCAGTCCTGTTTTGTAAAAGAGACATTATATGGTATTTGTCCTTTGGTGACTAAGATATTTCACTCAACATAATGTTCTCCAGGGTCACTTATTTTGTATAATAATGTATTCATTTTTCGCTTTGTAGTGCTGCATCGTATTCCATAGTGTGAATATACCGCAGCTTCTCTATCCTTTCATTTGTTTATTGGCACTTTGATTATTTCCATCTCTTTGCTATTGTGAACAATGTACAATAAACATGGGTGTACATATATCTATTGGGTGGCAGCTCTGGTTTTGTAGGGAAGTCTCAGTATTGGAATTGCTGTGTCAAATGGTATTTCCAACCTTTTGCGAAAGTGTCATACTGTCTTCAAGAGTGGTCGCACCATTTTAACACCAACAGTGAATAAAGGGTAACAATTTCTCAACAAGCTGTTGAGCTTTTTTTTGTTATTGGGGTGTGATGATATCTCATAGTTGTTTTTGAAAAAACTTTTTTAAAACGTTCTTTCGTGATTAGTGTTGTCATCAAAGTGTCAGTAAATCCAGATCTGCCCTCACAACTCTTGGGGTGCAGCCTTCCACCTGAACCCCCTTTTGAGGGCACCCTTGACTTCTTTGTTTCGAAGGCTGTAGATGAAAGGGTTTAAGGTGGGCGTGACCACGGCATAGACCACACTGGCCAGCCGGTCATAGCGAGCGGAATAGGCAGAAGACGGACGGAAATAGACAGAGAGGACAGAGCCAAAGAAGAGCGACACCACCACCAAGTGGGCCCCGCAGGTAGAGAAGGCGCGGCGCCGCCCCCCAGCAGCGCGCACGCCCACCACCGCCACGAAGATGTGTGCATAGGAGAGCGACACCAGGAGCAGCGGGGTCAGCACCACGGCCAGGCCCTCAGAGAAGATGGCAATCTCTGCAGCCGAGGTGTCCGAGGTCGCCAAGCTCAGCATCACGGTCATGTCACAGAAGAAGTGGCGCACAGGGGCAGAGGGCGGGTAGGAGAGCGCGGAGATGAGCAGCGTGTGCAGCAGCGAGTGGAGGTGCGCCACCGCCCAGGACGCGCCCACCAGCGCCGCGCAGCGTCCCGGCGTCATGACTGCGCTATAGTGCAGCGGCCGACACACTGCCACCGCGCGGTCATACGACATGGCTGCCAGCAGGTAGCTCTCCGTGATGCCCAGGGCCACGAAGAAGTACATCTGGGCAAAGCAGCCCTGGAAGGAGATGGCCTGGCCTGAGCAGAGCAGACCGATCAGCAGTCTGGGGACCGTGACGGTTGTAAAGCAGACGTCCACGAGGCTCAGATGACCCAAGAAATAATACATAGGAGAGCGCAGAGCAGCATCGGATCTCACCACCACCACCATGCTCAGGTTGCCCAGGGCGTTGAGCAAGTAGACGCAAAGGAAGAGCAGGAACAACAGCGGGTGGGTGTCCCGCCCGTCCATCAGGCCAAGGAGGAGAAACCCTGGGGCAGATGTGAGGTTGACCAGAGCCATGGAGTACCTGGCCGTATGCGAGTGCTGAAGGCAGAGATAAGGCAGAAGCTTAAATGTGAGAGATCAGGGTACACTTCCCCAGATATTAGGGCCCCATATACAAAATGTTAAAAAAAATTTTTCTCCTTGCTAAAATGGCTTGAAAATGACAATGCTCTTCTAATAATCCCAGTTTTATATGAAGAAAGAATATCAACAAAATGTTCTAGTTTAGTAGCAGCTGTTGTTATGTGCTGTCGAGTCAACCTAAACTCATAGAGATCCTATGCACAATTGCTTGGAATCCTGCCCTATCCTGAGCCAATCTCACTGTCTCTGACACACTTGCCCCCTTTATCCCAGTCGTGGTGTCAAAACATCTCATTTAGGATTTTCTTCTCCTGTGCCCTCCCTCCACCTTTCCAAGCATGATATCCTTCTCCAAGGCCACATACACAAAGTATATGAGAAATAGCTTCAAAATCCTTACCTCCAAGGAGCAACTTGGCTTCATCCTCTGTAGGACAGACCTCTTTGTTCTCTTGGCAGTCCATGGTATGTTCAATACTCTTTACCAGCACCACAACTCAAAGGTATTAATCGCTTTTTCTTCTGTCAACCGTATTCATTGTCCAGGTCTCTGATGCATACCAAGTACTTGTGAAGACCTTGGCCTGAACCAGGCACACCTCAGTCTCCAGACTAACATTGTTCCTCATCAGCCTTCTGGAGAGGTCCCTGACAGCAGATATTCCCAATGGTCATTACAAATACAGAAGAGGAAGAAAAGACCAAAATGGATGTCAGAAGAAACTCTGAAGATTGCACTGGAACGTAGAGAAGCCAAAGCACAAGGAAGAATTCAAGATACTAAAGAGCTGAACAGAAGATTCCAAAAGGCAGCACGGAATGACAAAGCAAAATATTACAATGAAATGTGCGAGGAGCTAGAGTGGAAAATCAAAAAGGCCGAACTTGTTCAGCATTTAAGCTCAAGGAACTGAAAAACAAATTCAAACCTCGAGTTGTTATAATCAAGGATGCTTTAGGCAGAATATTAAATGATCCAGGAAGTATTAAAAGAAGATGGAAGAAATATACTGAATCATTGTATCGAAAGGAATTGGCAGATACAGAAGAATTTAATGAAATAACATTTGAGCAATAGCCTATGGTGATGAAGGATGAAGTTCAAGCTGCTTTGAAGGAAATAGCAAAAAAGAAGGCCCTTAGTCTGTCTTAATCTGAATGTTTAGAATAGATGGTATACCAATTGACGTATTCAGCTAACAGATGCTGCCCTGGATGTGCTCACCAAGTTGTGCCAAGAAATCTGGAGAACAACCACTTGGCGAACTGACTGGAAGAGATCTATATTTGTTCCCATTCCAAAGAAGGGTGACGCAACAGAATGTGGAAACTACAAAACAATATCATTGATTTAACATGCAAGCAAGATTCTACTGTAGATTATCTAAAAACTACTGGAACAGCACATCAGCAGAGAACTGCCAGAAGTCCAGGCTGGGTTTAGAAGGGGTCGTGGTATTAGGGATATTGTAGCTGATGTTAGATGGATCTTAGCTGAAAGCAGGGAATACCAGAAGAATGTCTATCTGTGTTTCATTGATTATACAAAGGCGTTTGACTGCATGGATCATAACAAACTCTGGCTGACTCTGAGAAGAATGGGAATCCCAGAACATTTAATCGTGCTAATGTGAAACCTATACTTGGACCAAGAGGCAGTCGTCAGAACAGAGCAGGGTAACACTGCATGGTTCAAAATTGGGAAGGGTGTACGCCAAGGATGTGTCCTATCTCCATACCTTTTCGGCCTGTATTCAGAGCAGATTATCCGAGAGGCTGGGCTCTATGAGGAGAAGTGTGGTGTCAGGATTGGTGGAAGATCTATTAACAATCTGTGTTATGCAGATGACACAACCATGCTTGCTGAAACTGAGCAAGACCTCATGCACTTGCTACAGAGGGTCAAGGACTGCAGCCTTCAGTATGGACTGAGGCTCAGTGTCAAGAAGACAAAGATTCTCACCATGGACCAATTGGCAGCATCAGGATGGATGGCAAAGAGATTGAGATGTTCACAGCTTCAGTTTTCTCGGCTCCACGGTCAACACTTTTGGCACCAGCAGCCAGGAAAGAAAAAAAAAACCGTATTGCGATGGGAAAGTCTGCTGTTAGGGACCTCTCTAAAGTACTCAAGAGCAACGGTGTGTCTCTGGAGACTAAAGTGCATCTGATACAGGCATGGTCTTTGCAATCACTTGTTATGCATCAGAGAGTTGGAAAATGACTAGGGAGCATAGAAGGAGAATTGATGCCTTTGAGCTAGAGTATTGAGAGTACAATGGACTGCCAAGAAAACAAACAGATTCATCCTGGAGAGGGTTAAACCAGGCTACTCCTTGGAGGCAAGGATTCTGGGGCTTCATCTGACATACTTTGGACATGTTGTAAGGAGGGACCGGTCCTTGGAGAGGGACATCATGCTTGGGAGGGTGGAGGGACAGCGCAGGAGCAGAAGACCCTCTATGACGTGGATTGATTAAGTGACTGGGGTAATCGGGATGGGTGTGTCAGAGGCAGTGTGATTGACACAGGATAGAGCAGGGTTTAGGGCTGTTGTACATAGGGTCACTATGAGTCGCAGACGACTTTACGGCACATAACAACAACAACAAATTTGTCTTTTGACTTCGTGACTGCAATTTTTTATTCTGGAAATGAGCAAGCATAAATTGTCCACAATCTCTTCTCCATCTATCATGATACTTCTAATTGACCCAGTAGTGACATAGGTCAGACCTGGTTTTGAATGTTGCCACTGCCACACTCACAGTTCAAAGAGATAGGACTTCTCTGAACCTCATTTTCTTTTTCTTTAAATAAAACAAATATTAGGAGCTACTCCTGGAGTTGATCATGAGGATAAAGTGGACAAGAAGTTTAAAATTTTTAGCAAGTGGAGGTGCACCACAGCCCATGAGCCTGTGGAATGCTCCACACATAATAAGCACGCAAAACTATTACCTCTGTATCTATCATGGCTTTTTGTGTGTGAATTTTCGGTTAATTAGAGGCAAAGCTGAGACTCACTTTTTACCATTTACCATTCAGTTATTCAGTACATACTATATACTAGTTCAGATGCTGACCAAACTTTTTCTATAGGAGTCAGAGAGTAATTATTTTAAGCCCATAGTCAAATAACTTCTGTCTTTACCACTGTAAGCACAAAATCAACCATAGGCAATACATGTACATAAGTGATACGTAACATATACATGTAATACAAAAGTGAATGGGTTAGGGTAGTAGTTGAGCACTTAACCACCCAGGGACTCCATGTCTGATGCAGGGAAGGTCTTAAAAAAATAGGTCTGAATAGGTGTGGAATAATCACCAGTTCTACAAGTAGAGACTATCAAGTTAGCATTAAAGGCATTTTGTAGAAGAAGAGGATGAGATGGTACAGGGGGGGATGTTTTGTGGGTTCAATAAAGGTATAATATGACCTCTTCCCCTCTAATGCTAAGAAGCAGAATGAAGGTGGGGTAGGGAGGAGGGTAAGGAAGTGGCAGAGAAATGTTGGGTCCTTTTACCTGCTGGGCTGCATGTCAGACCTCAACTCTGTCTGCAGAATCTGTGGGTTGTTCTTTCTCTTGGCCGGAGATCACTAGTCTTGAGGGCTGATTCACCGTCATCCATTTCGGCTCTGACAATTCAGCACATTTCCTGTGGGTTAGGACAGCAACACCAGAGGGAGAAAAGGCCAGAGCTGCAAGGGATCCAGGAACTCCTGAGCCATGCTCTTCTCCCTTGACTTCCAGCCTGTCCATTGAATACTGTGTAATCATACTCAAAGATTTTCACCATGGATCCCAGTCTTCCTGTCCAGTCTTAGTTACAAAAGGGAGGCTTGGTGACCTTGTCCTTAAGGAGTTGTGCTGCCAACCCAAAGGAAGGTAGGTGGCTTGTATCCACCATCTACTCTGAAGGGGAAAGTCTCTGGAAACCCTCCACAGACTTGACAGTGGACAATAACAACCAGAACCAAGTTCCAACTGTCTCCACATTTCCCTCGCCACCACCCCAGCCATGTCAGGCTTGCCACGGTCTCTCACGTATACCTGTCTCACGTGTTTTCCCAACACACTGCTCCCTGCCTGAAATGCTCTCCCCGCTTTATTTCAACACTCTGCTCCAGCACTCCTTCCTCCAAGACGTTCCATCTACTTTCTCGTCTTCTCCAGCTAAAACGTTACCCACATTTGGAACACAGCCCTCATTCATCCACCTGGTGTGAAAGTCACTTTTTCTTCTATTATATTTGTTTCCCCTTTTAGATGATGAACCTTCTAGGATAAAATATTTGTCATTTTTCCATCTGAACTTCCACCTGGACTAGATTTTAGTCCTAACACCCTTGGCAATATCAGAGAAGGCTCCTTGGAGGAGAAAGTTATTATTTTAAAAAAAATTTATTATTTTTTTTGTGTACTGTCAAATTGGATCTGACTGGTACAGGAGGAGATTGCCCCTCCTTCTCCAGCAGAGCATCTGGTGGATTTGAACCACATACCTCTGGGATTGCAGTGCAGCTTCTTGCAACTAGGCCACCAGAACTCCCTAGAGGAGAAAGTTCTTGAGCAGGACAAAGTATTCTCTGGGCATGCAGAGGGAATAGCACAAGCAAAGGAAGTTACAAGGGGAACTTCAGGGAAGTGGCTTAACATCTTTGAGTTTCCTTTTCTTTCTCTGAAAGTGGGATGACTATACCATCCTTATAGTTTTTCCATGAGAATTGAATGAGGTAATATATAAAAACACTCCTCTCTCATTATCATTGAGTAAGAACAAACTCATCACGACCATCCAGCAGGTTTTCAGAGGCTGTAAATCACACAGCAGGAGATTGTCCCTCTTTCTCTCATGGAGCTATTGATGGATTTGAACTGCCAGAGAGTTGCCACCTTCGGTTAGCCCAGCAACTCCTTACA